GGTATAAGAAAAGCATGGCGTGTAAGCAAAGTATTGGATTTTACTTTGTAGCAAATACATTGAATAAATTTAAAAACATTAAGGAAAGTTATAAATTTGCTAAATTAATCCTTTCCTGACTTTGTATTTACTAAGAAAGATTATTTATATTTTTTTAGAGACAAATTATAAAATATTAATTATTGAAACTCAATATTTATTACAAAAATGCCCAACTATTATTCTCTTTATAATAATAATAATAAATTAATATTTATTAAAAAGTTTAAAAAGTAGTGAAAATAATGACGTTATAATGACGTTATAAACAATGTATGAGTAGAGAGACCACCAGTATAGTTTTTTACAATTAATTTCAGCCAATAAAAAAAATTAATTAAATTTAGGGAAAAAAAATGGTTATCCAAAAATATGAAATTCACCCTAATTTAGGATGGAGGAAAAACGGTGAAAATTGGGGAAAATTGGAAAGGTTAGTAGGTGCCATTGTATCTTACCATAACATGCCAAATTTGACTTGTAATTTTTTTCATTTTTTTTTAAATTTTATGTTTTTATTAATTTTATTCTATCAAACTATTTTTAAAAATTAAATATATATATATATATATATACAAAAATAATAAAAATAAATAAACTAAATAAAATATGTATTTATGAAAAAGATAAAAAGGGAATCCAAATATTAAGAATTTGTTCGATTCTCCTTCCGTACAGGTACACCAAAATTTTAATATTCATTTTATTTTTTTGGAAAAGACAATATTTAGATTTAACTAAATTATTTTATTAATAAATGGTGTTATTGACACGTCCGCATCCGAAACGATGTCGTTTTCTTCCTGAATTATTTTATGATGCAAAGAACGGATGCCAAAATCCCACCGGGAAATAAATAAAAACAAAACCAACCGAATCACTGAAAACCCAGAAGCTTCAATGTGTTTTCCTTTACAAATTATATATATATATATATAAATAAATTATTTTAATTTTTTCGATTAATTAAATTAATATGTCAACGTCCATGTCGATATCGAGATGAAACTATTGATAAAATATCTCTATAACATGACCGATATTTATGTAAATAAAATAATAATTAAATTAAAAGTATTTATGAGTATTTATTAAAATAGTAGAGATATCGGTTATTCTTTTATAATACGTTAGAGTGAAGATTTAAGTTTTGGATATTCTTATCTATTTAATTAAAATGAATATTTTATAAATTTAACTAAATATTAAATTAAAAATTGAATATTTTTTTGAATATTACATCATTATTGTGTGAAATTTAAATAAAAGAAATATGGATATATACAATCTAGATTTTGTAGTTATTTTATGATATGAAGTGTGGGGTTGTTTTGTTTGTAGGCTTTTCATTCAATGAATTTATTTAATTATATGTCTTTTTTTAATTTATTTAGAAAAATCCTAATAAATCTCTCTTCCATATATTAATATACAAAAAGCGAAATTTCAACTTCCAATACTTCATTATTTGAGATATAATTATATTACTCTGACTAATTTAATAATATTTAAATACTTATTACAATTTTTAAAAGTACTTAGGTGATTTTATAATATGGTTTTGAGTATTTTATTTGTGGAATATTACGTGATTTGTTGTTTAGTAGAGAATCCTTTAATTTAATTTTACGAGACAAAAATAAATAAATAAATAAGCGATTGTGTCTCGTGTATATATATATATATATTGTAATGGTCCAGATCAACCGCTAGCAAATATTGTCATCTTTGGGATTTTCTTTTCGGGCTTCCCTTCAAGGCTTTAAAACGTGCTAAGAGAAGGTTTTCACATCCTTGTAAAGGATGTTTTGTTCTCCTCCCCAACCAATGTGGAACATCACAATCCACATCCCTTTAGGGCTCAACGTCATCGCTGACACTCTTTTCTTCTTCCAATCGATGTGGGACCGCCACCAAATCTACCCCCTTTAAAGCCCAACTCCCTTAGTGGCACACTGCCTCGTGTCTATCCCTTTTGGGTAATAGCGAGAAGGTTGGCACATCGTCCAATATTTGGCTTTGATACCATTAATTGTGATGTCCTATATTGGTTGGGGAAGAGAACAAAACACCCTTTGTAAGGGTGTGGAAACCTTCTCTTGCATACGCATTTTAAAGCCTTGAGGGAAGCTCGAAGAGGGAAAATCCAAAAAAGGCAATATCTGCTAGGATTGATCTGGGCGGTTACAAACTAACATGAAGGGTTATTCAGATATTTAAAAACTAAAATAGAATTTTGATTTAAATAAATTAAAAGGGACATAAATATTTTAATTAAATAAAATAAACGTTCGAAATTACATCAACGGAAATGACAAAGCTAATGTATATGCACGTGGATAGCATTGAAGCCTAAAATTTAATATGGTACAATGAACATTTATTATTATTATTATTATTAAAAGTTAAAAATTAATTTTCCATTAATATGATTAAATAAATAAAGAAAAGAGTTTAAAATCAAAGAAAACACGCATCTGTGGGTCCCAGAAGGTAGAAAATCAAACGGCGGTGATTCATTTCGTCGTCACTCAGATGCATGCACGCGCCGCCCTCCAGAAACGCTTTTTCCATTTTATTTTTTAATTTTAGATAATCAGAGGTCCTCACGCCTATATAAACCCCCACCCACCACAACTTCTCCGCCTCCGTTAACTTCGATCCAGAATTCCAAAAAATCCAAAATCGCCGCCTTCATCGGATTCTTGTCGCACTCAACGCCGCCGCTCAGGGACATGATACAATCTCCTGCCGCCGGAAAATAGCTATGGTACGTTGCTTCAATTTAGTGTCCATTTTCGTCCTCGCCGCCGTTGCGGTCTCGATGGTAGTTCTGCCCTTGGTTCTTCCGCCGCTGCCTCCCCCTCCGATTGTGCTTCTCTTCTTTCCGGTTGGACTCATGGCGGCGCTCCTCATCCTCGCCTTTTCTCCCTCCGATGTCGGCGTCGATAATTTCGATTTATGACGGAAATTTTAGTAACATTGTGCCTTCCGGCGGCCGGCCGGGGTTTTTTTTTTTTTTTTTGAAGCTAATTTCAAGAGTTATTTACTATATTCGATGTAGAAAATGAAGGTCAAAAGAAATGTAAAAATAATGAAAATAATTTTTTTATTACTATTCTGAGTTTTTTGGTAATGCTTTTATTTTCTTCTTGGTGTTTATATTTAGTTGGTGTGTAATAAAATTCCAAATCTTTACTTTTATATTAAATAGAAAATGGATCATTTTAAAATTTTATTATGACTTAATTTAAATTATAAATTCAATTGGAGATAAAATTTATTTACTTTAAAATTATTTACATTGATTTATTGACGTATCTTTCTTTATTAATTAAAGGCGTTATATGTTATATTTAAGTATTAATTTCATATTTAAATTTTTGTAACGCGCGTGTACATAAGTGGAAGAAGGCACGTGGAAAAAGTATTGTGGTGGAAAAAAGAGATCTATACAGGTCTCTCGGAACAAATTTTTATTGACTATTGACATTTACGACAGCTATATCACTGCTTAAATTTATATATATTTATTCTTTTGCATAAATACCTTTAGAAAGGTTTTTTTTTTTATTTACAAAAATGAATATTTTTAAAGGGTAATATATTCTCTAATCATAGTATATAATTATTCGGAAGAAATTTATAAATTTGTCCACTTTTTGGTACGGTATTGAATTAAATTTTTTATTACATGATGGAAGTGATATTTTATATATCTAAAAGTAGCTAAACTAAAAATCGAAACAGAAAAAAATGTGGCAAATAAGAGTTGAGAAATATATATTATCTAATTATAGTATATCGTTAATGGGAAGAAATTTCTAAACTTGCCCACTTTTTACCACGGTATTAAATTTATATTTATATATATGATGTGATGGACGTGACATTATTATATATCTAACCACATAAAGATTGTTTTAACTAATTTTAAAATTAAAATTTTAATCTGAATAATAAAGTTTAAAATATTTTTAATACCATTTCTTCCTCTCTTTTACTATTAATTATTTCTTAATCATATCATGTGAAAATTGATGTGATGTCACCCAAATTTTGTGGGCTTTCCATTGGGTCGATAAGCAAATTTTAATGGGCCGACGGCCCATTTTTTCTTTAATATGTTGTTTAATATATATATATATATTTTATTTCCTTGAAATTATGTTTATTAATTTTAGAGTTCAAAAATTATAGATTTGAGATTAAATTATCATAATTACTAAAATTAGTTATATGATCGAGTCCAAAGCTGGTAGAGACCTAAGGCCCGTCGATAAGGCTCCAGTTATAAGATCGAGTTAAGATTAGGGCAGAATTGGTCGAAGGCTGAAAAAGGACAATCAAATCCAAATGGACTGTTGATGCAATCGTTTTCCTTTACCTACAACATACCAAGAACCCTAACGAGATTCTCGATAAACTCTAATCTAGTCTAAGCTATTTACAAACCCGATACTCACTTGGACATGAAAGTATAGGTAGTTTAGTGACAAGTGAGCTAAGCCAATTCGTTCTTACGTCGCCTAAGGTCAAGCAACGTAGGCTCAAGCCTCTGGCCTTGGTTTAAGAAGAAGGTTTTAAAAAACGAGGGCAAAGAGAGATTTTGAAAGAGACGTTATATATGCAAGTAAGAGAGTAACAACAATGGCTCACAGTATATAACTTTTGGTACGGAGAAGTTGACAACTAATCCTACCCCTATAGTATATCCTAAGTCATTTCATGTCTGTCAGGCCTACATGATCTTTCTGAAATATCATTCTTTTTAGAAATACAAAAGTAAAACACACATAAAGGGTTTGGCTTATCATGGGCAAACACGCCTTGGACGAGCATGACCGTGACACTTAGCACCACATTAGTGCACCATTCACATTTGACCGAAGATCGTTCAATTTCTACTTTCATACAAACTCACAGTAGATCGAATTTCAACATCAATAACATCAAACGAGTAGTAAAAAAGCGATATTTTTATACGCGAAATGAAAGAGAAAGTTACATTGATTGAGATTAATAGGAGTTATATGTTACTATGAGATTGATATGATTTTTATTATTGGATGAATAAAAATTGAAGTCAAGTTCTACCAATCCTTGGTGAAGAATCTATAGGGTTGGTAGCAGATGCAAAGAGCTTAGCAATCTCCAATTGAGTATTTGCAATGATCTGTGTTCTTTTGAGATCCATTTCACCTCTTTTAGCCTCTGCTTCAGCTCTCATCTTTTCAATATCCTTTATCATCTCCATTCGAGCTTGCTCCGATCGCACCACGACCTCGGCCAACCACCGTATGCTCCCGGCGATCTGCTCCAACGAATCCTCGGCCGACAGCCTCGTCGACTTATTCTTCTTCTTGGTGTTCTTCATTTTTGTTTGTTGTTTAGGCCTCATGGATACCTTGTCTTTGTCACTGTATACTATTGCTGGTGTGCTACTGTCTGTCTCTATGACCATCTTCTTACTCTTCTCTGATAACTCATCTGATTCATCTCTTCTTCCATTATCAACCCCATCCTCCTGCAATCATTTTTACTTTTCTACTTTAATTCTTCAACAAAAACGCTCAAATCAACCACAACTCGTGTACAAATTCGATAAAGAAATTAAAGTCTCATGGATAACCATTCGATAAAGATGTTCAAAACATTCGATGACTTCAAAAATCAAATCTCTGCCCAATTCATCTGCCTAGGATGGTCATGAATTTATTTGGGTTAAGTTGAATTCAAATAAATAAAAATTTTATGGATGGGGTTGGTTAAACCAAATCAATTCAAATTTATTATTAATTATAAAAATACAACTATATACATAGTTTTTGTTTTATTTAATTATATAATTATTTTTTATTATATATTATTGGATCGCTCTTAAAAATAATTTTTAATAAATTAAATAAATAATTTGAATTAGATCCTTGATTTAATAAATTTGAGTTCAAATTATTAAATTAAAGGTAAAAAAAAGTTTGCTGATTTAATTTGAAATCTTACTAAAATTTCAAATAATTTATTGACTAAAAAAATTAAAAAGAGAATAAAACGGGAATTAAGGGAAGTTGATACCTTAGGATTAATCCGATCACCACCATTGGACCCATGGGAGTTTTGCGCCGGCAGAAACGGCGGTGGAGCGGGAGGTGGTGGGGGAGGATCCAGAAGAATGACCGGCGTCGGAGGCGGCGGTGGTGGGGTGAGGGTGTTTCCCCGGAGCAAGAGATGAAGGCGGTGGTACAAGGGCCAGGAGGAGGCGGCGGAGGCGGATTCAGAGCGGTACCTTTTTTTCATGGACTCAATTTTATTCTTGCACTGGGTTTGAGTTTTGGGGGATTTGGTAAAATCAGCCCTTGAAGAGACATGGCGGGCCACGTCTTCCCAATCATGACCCTTCAATTTGGCTCTGTTTCTAAGGACCCATTTGGATTCATAAGCCTCCAGCAGGGTGGACACTGCGCCTTCGCTCCATTCGTCTCGTTTCAGCCGGTCCCCGGCGCCGGTGGTGGAAGCAGGGGGTTTTTTGGGAGATGGGGTTTCGGCGGCGGCGTCGATGGCGGAGGGGAGGTGGTGGTGGTGGTGGTTAAATAGAAGAGAAGGGGAGGTGGTTTCTGAGTTGAGTGGGGATGAAGGAGTGGGTTTGATCTCCATGGGAGTGAGAGATAGGGGGAAGAGAAAATTGAAGGGTTTAAAGTTTTAAAGTTACAAAGTTGCAAGCTTTATTGTTAGTTAGCTGCTAACATCTTCAAACATTGAAACCACTAGCATTGTAGTGAGAGAAAGAGAATACCCTTGGTAGTGGGCAACCATAGAGACAAAGAAGAGGGTTTCAGTGAATTCCCGAGACGCAAAGTTTATGATAAAAAGAAGCCCTAAAACTTCATAGTGTTCATGATTAAAGGTTTAAAAGTTGGAATCTTTTTGAGTCAATAATTTTGACAAATTATGAACGACGGTAAACGTGTTCGGGTTTGGTTTGGATTGGAATCTAAAATATTTGAAAAAATAAGATGAGAAAGAGACATGGAACCCACTAGCATTTGGGAGGGGAGAAGGCAATAAAGGGTAAGTGGGCAACCCAAGGGGAAAATGAATTCATATCACCTCTTCCCTTTGCCTCTTAGCTTTGAAGAAAAAAAAAAAAAAAAGAAGAAGAAGAGTGGTGGGAGAGTAAGAAGGTAGTGGGACAAGCACATGGGTTTGTCGACCACTCTAATTCACCATCACCGTCACCACCACCATTACCACTAACTTAACTGGTACTACCATCACCACTAACTTAACTGGTACTACCACCACCACCATCACCCCCGGCTAATGTGGTAGCAAATTAAAGCCCTAAAACGAATTAACCCTACGAATCTTATAGGTCGCACTTTTTTGGATGCTCCTCCTCTCTTTTCAAACCCTTTTGCTTTATACTTTTTTTTTTCTTTTTTTCAAGAAATAAATAAAAATTATCTATATTTTAGTTTTTTATTTCTAAAAAATAAGTTTGTAAATATTAATTCTACTCTAGAGCTTATTTTTTTGGATATGAAAAGTAAAAAAATAATTTTATTTTATAAAATTGCCGTAAATGATATGATAATCCAAGGGGTAATCTGTTTTGAAAATGTTTTATGTACTTAGTTATTTAATATACAATAAATTTTTAAATGTAAAAAATGTCAACTTTTCTAAATATCGGCATTTCCACTATTTCTTAGAAAGGAATAATCAAAACCCATCATCATTTCTTACTTGAAAATTTGTTTCAATCATATTAGTTTAAATCAATTCCCTTTAATAATTTATATAATTATTTTTATTTTTATATTCATCCATATTATCCGTTTCACCCCGTTACATATTGTTGCACGCCTCATAATTTTAAAACGCATCTATTAGAAAGGAAATTTTACATTCTTGTAAAAGATGATTCGTTCTCGTCTCGAACCGACTTGAGATCTTACGTCGTACTAGTAGCTGGAATTGAAGAAAAAAAAAGCTTTGCTTTTTCAGACATCCATAATATAATAAGCTAAAACCTTAAGAATCCCAAACAACACAACTATAAAAACAGGCATACAAAATTACTACTTTACCCTTTTCCCCATCCCCCCACCAAACCATAATGACCACACATTCTTATTATTCTAGAACCAACAAAAATAAACATCACCGGAGCTGGAGATGATACGGCGGACGACGGCGGTTTAAGAGCAGGGTTCGCGGGCGACGCCGATTCGGGAATTGGGAACGTCGAAGAGAATGCGGTGGTTCTGCTGCTGCATGCTGGCAATGACGTTGAGTACGGAGTTGACGTTATCCGGGGCGGCGGCCATGGCGAGGCAGGTGGTGGTTCCGGCGGAGCTGTGGAGGAGGAAGTTGTCCGGCGGAAGAGTGACGTTCATTCCGGCGAACATGAAGGTTATGGTGGGAGAGATGATGGGGACTGTATAGCACGTGTCGAAGCCGCCGAGGGATGAGATGGTTGCGTTGCCTATTCTTCGCCGGAATTCGTTCCTCACCGCCGTGTACGCCGGTGCCACCAGCCTTGTGAATGTCGTCCCTGAATTAAAGAGATTTTCAAAATTAAAAGTGTATTTTTATTAATTTAGTCTAAAATATTTTTAAAACCTATTTAAATCGATACCGGAATCGATGATGGTGCCGGCGCCGGTGGCGGAGTTAAAAGCAAGAGCAGAGGGAGGAATATCGACGATTCGCCGGCCGACTCTGATCGCGATTAGATTCACATAATACAAAGACGACCGCCTCGGGTTTCGGAGCAGCGGCGTGTACTTAATCCTCTTGGGCTGGGCCACAGGCCCAAGACGCAACGACCCAGAAAAGCCGGTCGATTTGAAGCTCGGAAGGCAGTACGAGAATGTGGACCGGTACAGACTCTGGCTCTGGCCCAAAAGCGATAATGGGCCTCGACCCAGGCCCAATAGTCCCTGCGGCGGCACTGAACTACCCGTCGCCTTCGTGATGCACCCAAATGTGTACGCCGGAACCGAGTCGTTGGCTAGAGTTATGTTGTCTTGAACCAGATCCGCCGCTACAGTCGAGCTGCCGTACGTCAAGTTGAAGCCGCACGCGCTACTGCTGCAACTGGGGTTCGGTACCTGATAAACAAAAGGGTCACGTGCCGTTAACGTGCGATGTTTAATAATACGATAAGTATTGTTGGGAAGAAGTTGTTTGGCCCGTGACTGAACGTCCCCGTCGGTGACTCACTGACAGTCATAGATTCTAGAGAAATCCAAAAATTAAAAAATAAATAAATAATTTATTATTTAACTTTTACCGAAATTAATTCCTTTCTTTTAAAATAATTTAAGAAATAGTTGATTTGTTACATGATTGACGTGATAAAGAGGGGTTCGTATCACGAGGAATGGAGTTTTGGACACACGTGTCACCTTCAAGGAAAGGACACTGGCACGTGGGAACATGGATTTGATTCTACAAAAGCATCCGAAGTTCTTATTAATTTTCAAAAAAAATATATTCAATTAATTTATTTTATTAGATTTAGAAATAAAATTAAAAGTATTATTTTATTTATATATAAAAAAAAAACATAATAAAGAGGGGAACCCACATATTACCAACTAAAAGGGGAATGCTATGTGGGTGAATAAAGGTAGGTTTATAATCATTGAATATTCCAACGGATATCTGGCCTCTCCACCGATAGAGGCGGCGCGTGAGCGCGTGCACTTCGATAATCAAGGTTTGATGTAGAATATGGGAATTGAAATGCCACCACATTGGTGAGTTGGAAAAACAAAAGCAGCAAAAATTCAAAATTGATTTGAAATAGAACAGAGGTAGGTACCTGGTTGCATTGAGGGGATCGGCAGGGGAGGGGGCGGAAGGAGGAGGACTTATCGGAGGAGAAGACGGTGGTGGAAGGGCAGCCGACACAGCCGGAACAGGGAATCCAAGCGGCGTCGTTGCTGGTATCGAGGGCCATGAGGAGGGTCTGAGCAGGGGTGCCGATCTTGGCTCGGACTACGAAGGTGGGGCTCTGGATGAGCTGGCGCGCGGAGGCAATGGGGGCGACGGACTTGCGGGCGACAAGGGAGGACAGGAACTGGAGGCGGGCTTGGTCCTTGGCCTGCATTTGGAGCACATTGTCGGCCCATGACAGCGGCTTGGAGGGGCGGAAGGGGGAACAGGGGCTGAAAATGTGGAACACTTGGAGGGTAGAGCTGCGGTCGGCGGCGGCGTTGCAGTTGGGGTGGTGGTGGTGGTGGGATTCGGCGGATATGGAGAGGAGGAGGAGAAGAGAGAGGAGGAAGGGGGATTTTGTCTTCATGCCTTCAATTTGGGACTGAGAGAGAGCGTGGAAGTGAAGAAAGGGTATGTGGGGAAGAATGTGAGACAAGATATTTATAGAAACAAATTTAATCTTAATTAATTAAAATTTTATTTTCCTTTTAATATATTAAGTTAAAAAAATGAAATTTCTATAAAATCAATATATTACCCATAAAATTAAATTTAGGTATAAGTTCGTAAATCATAAAATGTCAAATATTACGTTTAAATATAAAATTATAAGTATTAATATATATATATATTTTTAATTAAAGGAGTTAGTAAGGTTGAAATAACTCTTTTATATCTTTTAAATTAACTAACCTAATTCATATAATGGTTAGCTTTCAAATAATAAAAGAAAACTTTTTGAATATAGATTTCTAAAAAAAAACTTAATCAAATTAAAAGAATTCGAGAAACAAGTGGTAATTGAGTAAAATATGTTGACCACTTACGTTGGAACAAGTAACAAAGTACAAGTGGTAATAAATGAAAGAATGTTAACGGAAATTAGAGATGTCCACGAGATGGGAGTGGAGACGGAGAAGTCTTCTTTATTCTCCTTTCGGTCACCAATTTCATTATCTATTCCCTGTGAAATTATCTATTTATTTTTGCACTGACTACTCCTTGTGGACAGGAAATTTACACGGATTGAGTTCCCCACCTTTTTTTTCTTGTAGTTTATTAATTTTTCTAAAAAGTAGTTATTTTCACTTTTGAACCTTAATTTTCATTTTTTTTAATATGAAATAATATTAATTCATTCTATTGGCTTTGTTAAATTGTCAGTTGATAATAAAGTAATTTCACCTCCCATAATAAAAATATATTTAAGTTAAAATGACAAAATTTGATAACAGACAAAAAAAAATTAGTGATGTTTTTTTTTTAATTAATAAATTAATATTTAACTAAAAAATAACGACAATAAATGAAACAAAAACCAACAAAACATTTGTTATTACTAAAAGCATTAGAATTTTAAAAACATAAAAACTTTAGAAACTTATAATTTAATTTATCTATCTTTAAAAATATATTTTATATTTATAGTAAGTGGGGCAGACATGAAGAGGAAGGAGCAGACAGAAAATACAGTCTCCATCCCAACCTCATTTATCTAATGGGAGAAATTTATCTTCATTCTCTCTCATTTTCGATCTAAATGGAGAATTCCCACCTACAAAGGACTGGTACCCACGAACACCAATTTTTACCGTAAACAGTATTGTCAACATTGTAATTTACTCCGTCCAATGAACCAAATTTATTGGTACGATGAGTTTTGTGAATGAAAAGTTTGATTGCAAAGGAGAATTTGAATATATTAAAGAAAAAAAAAAGTTGAATTAGGTAAATATTGAGTGGGAAATAGAATTATGGGAGAATAATATAGTTTAATTGATGGTGTGGGGATGGAATCATGATGAACATAGGGTGTGTTTGGGTAACAGACTGGATTCCATTTATGTTTCTATGGTTGGACCTCTCAT